TTCATCCTCCTTACTGTGGCTAGAAGATCCCGTGTCCCTTGGATTCTGCCCGCCTTCTCACCTCATCACCCCCATTCTTGCCCTCGTGAACTCTGCTCTGGCTTCATTGGCCCTCCTGTCCCTCAGACACAGCTAGTTCCTGCCTTAAGGCCTTTGCACTCATTGCTCCCCTGTCTCAAATGATCTTCCCCACATTCCCTGATCTCTCAAATCTCAGTTCAAATATCATCTCACAGAGGTCTGCCCAGATCCTGCGGCCAGCTTCTATCCCACTATACTGTGTGTGTTCTTCCATAATGCCTACCATTCTCTAAAATTATTTATGTGTGTGTTTACCTGCTTATGGTCTGTTTCACCCCACTAGACTGTAAGCTCCATGAGTTCGGGGTCTTTTCCATGCTCACTGCTGTATCCCCAATGCCTAGAACAGTGCCTGGTCCATAGTAGGTGCTTAATAAATATTTGTTAAATAAATTCAGTAGACAGCCCATTGAGTAACATCCTTGACCTCCTCATTTCCAATGGTTTCTTTTCCAGTCCGCCTCAGCCACCCACTCCCATGGCCACACCCCAACTTTGTCACCACTTGAAATTTCACTCATTCCTAATTCCCATTCTTCCCCCAGTCCCTCCTGGCCTGGCCTCCCAGCTCTGTTCTCCAATCTCATTGACACCCACCCTTCCTCATCTTCCTTAACAGGCTTATATTCAGTGAGTCATCATCATAAATAACCTAAAACCCCTTATTCCTCTCCTCTTTCTTCTCACCCACCTGGGAGAGCCCAATCACCCACTTTCTCCTCACCGGCACCCAAGAAGCTAAGCGCTGATGGGGGAAATCTCACACCTTCACACATTAGAGGCCACTGTCTCCAACCTCACCAGAGCTCTCAATGCCAAGTTTTCTCTAGTTGGCTTCTCCCATGCTCTGCAGTGAATACGCCACCCTTACCTCCCCTTGTCAAGGGGAGTGGGTGTGGGGGGATCTTGACAAGAGGGTGGAAGACACACAGATGCCACTTCCCTCCATGCCCCCAATCCTGCCTCTCTCAGCTGATGACCTCACCTCCTACTTCATGGAGAAAACCAGAGCCTTCAGGTGGAATCCCTCACCTTCGACAGGAACCTGCTATCCTTCGGCAGCACACTGGCTTCCCGTGACCTGAAGCCAGGCCTCTGCTGGTCCCATCTCCTTCTCCCTCCTCAAGGACCTCACTCCACCAATCAGTCCTCTACCCTGCATCACCAACTCCTTCCTCTCTAAGCAGCCATCCCTCCAGCACCCAGGCATGTTCCACTATTTCTTGTCTTTAAAACCCCCACATCCCCGCCAGCCACTCCCCTGTCTTCCCCTTCAGTGCCAGGCTTCTTCCCGGAGTGGTCCACGCATGAATTCTGTAGTTCCTCAGTTTTTTCTTACGCCTCACCTGCCTCGGCCTCTCCCGTGAAAGGCTGAATCCTCCATGCCCCCAACACTAACGCTCAGAGTCTAGCTTCTGGGACCCCAGCAGCACCCGGCCCAGTTGCGCCCACCTTGCCTGGGTGGTCTTCTCTGGGTTCCAGGATGTCACCTGGCCTTGGCTTTTCTCCTGTTCCACTGACCACTCCTTTCAGTCTCTTCCACCTGCTCTTACTTCTCTCCCAACCAGAGTTCTTCCCGGCCCATCTCGGCCAACCCTGCTTTACCCTTCTCACTCTATTCTCTCTCCTTGGGACACCCAAGGCCGAAAGACCACCCACACCCAGAATGCTCAGAGTTCCATCCACCCTCCAGGCTTCTCTGAACCACCTCCCTGAACTTCCACAGACGTGTCTCCCAGAATCCAACCAGACATCTCTCCATTGGAACCCTCCATCCTCCCAGGCTGTAGACGTGAATCTGGGAATCGTCTCCCTCACTTTCCTGATATCTGAAATCGATGGCCGAGTCCTGCCCGGGCTTCCTGTTGTGTGTCTCTACTCCGGCTGTTTCTCTCACCACCTGGGCCCCACCCAACAACAAACCTCTGTGTCTTTGACCTAGACTTCTGCCGCGATCTCCTCCCTGTCCTCCGTGCTTCCTCTGGGCCGGGGTGATCTTTTCAAACATGGACCAATCTCTGCACTGCCTGCTCAAACCCCTGGCACGATGACTGTGACCATCCCCCCACCCCACCCCACCCCATCCTGACTCACTTGCAAAGCCAGTCATTGATGCCACGGTCAAAGTGCCTGTGGGAAGAGGGCAGTTGTGTGTGAATCACGTAGGGGAAGAGGCTCAGGGAAGGAGGGGAACCCATGGGCGTGCCCCCAGATGCCCGCTGCCCACACTCACGTTTCCGCAAAGATGTAGAGCGCTGTGATGCACTTGGGAGGCTGGGGCGGGTCCAAGTGGTCGAGACGCGCCACCGTGTTGACTACGCCGAACAGGACAGCAGCCTTCACCCAGTCATACACCAGGTTTGAGTAGGCGAGGGCAGCTGGGGACAGCATGTTGTCACGGCCTGGCGGGTGTTGCACCTGTCTCCCCACCCCAGACACCCAAATCTAGGGGGAATCACTGAGTCTGGCCTTCTGCTTCTGACAATCTCCAGGTTCGGGGGAAGGTCCTGCTGCCCAGATCGCTCCAAGGGCACCCCGCTCCCCACCTCCTGGATCCTGGACACCCCAGGGAGACCCCATCCCATTGTGGAGATCAGCCCAAGGCCCCAGTGAGGTGGAAAGGGCTCTGTCCCATACCAGTCTGGCTTCACAGGACAAAGAGAACAAGTCCCACACATGTCAAGGAATAAGTTCCCGCTCCCACACCCTCAGATCGGTGCTGTGCCCTTAGGGTGTCAGCTTCCCCAGCGGTGACACCATAGGAATACAGGTCTATCTTTCTGGGGGTGGCGGCCCAGACCCCACCCCTGTTCTGGGTCCCCCGCGCACCCACCGAGGGCGCTGTCCGGCAGGCGGCTGGCGAACTTGAGGTCACTGGGGATGGTGAGGATGTAGAAGAAGTGAAAGAAGATGTCCACGGCTATGATGGCCGCCACGCTGAGGCCCGCCTGGGCCCGGATGTGCCACAGCTCACCCTCGCGCCTCACCGGCTCCACCTGGCTCACCTGGGGGATGTCCAGGATGTGAATGGGAGTCACTGACTTCCTGGGGATCGGAGGGTGAGGGAGACTTGCCTCCATCCTGGCAGCCTGGCCTGAGGGTGGGAACACTCGAGGAGGGGGCACAGCCGGCTAGGGGAGCCCCAGTCCTGTCTTGGGAACCCCATTTGAGTAGGAGGAGAGTCCTGTCTGGGAGGAGACACATCTCCATCTTGTGATCCTTGGGGGGGTGCGGGGGGAAGGTGGCCCAGTCCTGGGGTCTGAGGAAGGCCGTCATGCCTGAGGAGGGGGCACAGCCCGCCCCGGGAGTCCTATCAGAGACGGGAGCCCCTGGCTGAAGAGGGACAGTCAGCTCAGCTCTGAGAGCCACAGGGTGCCCCTCACCTGGGCATGGAAGCGATCAAAGGTCATGATGGGCCCGAAGAAGAAGAACGGCAGGTAGAAGTTGTACTTGAGCAGGTCAGCCAGGGAGTAGCGGCGATCAGGGTGGGCACAGCTCTCTAGGGCAAAGCTGGTGCAGCGCAGCGCCGTGAAGCCGCTGCCCCCCTGGAACAGCACCTCTTGAAGATCAAAAGTGCCTGTTACAAACCCGTTCTGGATGGGAGAGAGCAGGCCGCCAGCTCACCAGGTGCCCCTTGTCTCTGCGAAGCCCGCCCAGCTTCCCCAGGGGCCCAGCCTGGTCCTGTCCCTTCCTCTCTCCAGACCCAGTCAACGTTGGCCATTCAGGCCCCATTCATGGTAAGGGCTGGGGCGGGGCAGAGGATGAGCTGGATGTGTCCCTGCTTTGGTGGAGGGGACCACCTTGTAGGCCAGGCGTCCTCCCTGGGAACAGGCCGGGAGACCGCCGGGAGAGTGAAGGGAAGGCTTGGGGAGGTTGGGGGGAAGGGCTTTGGATGGGGTGAGAGAGGTTTGAGGTCCTATCCCTGCACCCTCTGCCCCTGCCCCGCCCTGTCGCACACCTGCCAGGAGATGAGGGGGTCCAGCTTGAAGGAGGCCAGGCTGGCCATGCCGAGGCCAAGACAGAGCCAGGGCTGACCCAGGAGTGAGGCCACATAGTGGCCGACACAGTGGCCCAGCAGCAGCAGCAGGTACCAGGGGCCCATCGTGCCCACCACGGCCAGGGCCCCGTACACAGCGTACATCCAGGCGCGGAGCTGTGGACAGGGGGGAGGCTGCGTTTACCTGTCCAGACACATGCAGGTGGGACCCCGGCGTGGGTTCCCCACACCCCCTGGAGCTGCGGAGGGGGGGGGGGGTGAGGCTGGGGTGGCTCCGGCCCTGCTCACCTGCGGGGCCACCATGGTGCAGAGTTTCGCAAACAGCACGTGTCCGGAGAGGGTGAAGAGGATGACGTTGCGGAAGGAGCCGAACCACATCACCCACTCGAAGTCAGCCACGTCCTGGGTGGGCCCGGGCAGGTTAAGGTGGGGCGGGGGCAGGAGGGGCTGGCACTCAGGCTGCTCAGAGTCCCAGCACGTCCCAGCCCCCAGGTTCTTCTGACGCATGAGAGCAGAGCCATGGCTGGAGGCCCTGCCTTCCCCTCTGAGGCAAGCGCCAGGCAGGGAGACAGAGAGGCGTGAGGAGTACCATGTGGGCTGCTCCGCCCCTCAGAGCTCACCCTCTCCCTGGCTCGTTGCCTGACATGAAGCCATGATTGCCTTGTTCCTGGGAAGGATGGTGCTGGAGGCCCCTGCTGGGCACGTCTCGATTTACTCCCTGAATGAGCGGGGTCTGGGCAGGAGGGGGCCAGTGGAGAAAGGGAAGGTGCTGGAGACCCTCCCCATTGTGAGCCCCCTGAACATCTGGACAAGGAGAGCATCCGGACAGGTTTGGGGTCAGAGAGATGTGCCAGGGGCCAGGGACCCCAGCCAGGGACCTGGGGTGTGAAGGACCTACCATCTTCCGACCAATGTACTCCCAGCCGGGTCGCACAGACTCCCGGAAGGCCTTCCTCTGGGCCCCATCTGAGAACAGAGCGTGGCCTCAGGGGGAGGACCGTCCCGCCTCTCCCATGCCTGCCCTACGCGAGGCTGGCCCCACCTTAAAAAGCCTGTGTCTCTCTCTGCCTGTTTCTCTCGGGGTCTCACTGTATGCCTGGGCCCAGGCCTCCCTAAGGGTCTGAGCGTCTCTCTCCGTGGCTCTGTGTCCAGGTCTCTGTCCGTGCTCCTGTGTCTGTGTCTCCCCGTCACTGTACCTGGCTCAGCCCCGTCCCAGGGCTCAGAGACCACCCTGGGTCTGGAGCCTCTGAGTGTCTGGCCTTGCTGGTTGGAACGCTGAGGCCCCCAGAGAGAGAGAAGGGTCCCACCCCCTGCCCAGGGGCCCAGCGGTTACCTTGTGAAGCCTCGAGGAGGCCCCGGCCAGCGTAGGCCAGGGCCCCACTCAGCACCAGGGAGTACAGGCCCAGCTCCGCCGCCGGCAACGCTGTCTTGGTGCCCATAGCCTGGAGGTGGCTGGGGAGACAGATTGGGTGAGGGCACCGCTGACCCCCAGTCCTGCCTCGCCCACCTTATGCTCCCCTCCTGAGGTGGTGAGGACCCCACTCTTGAGACTGCCCCTCTTGTCTCCTCCCATCATTCTCCCCTCCCCCATCCCCAACTCCTCCCAGGCCTCCCCCATCCAAACTCCCGTCTTTCCCATTAAAACTCTCGAAAGCATATTCTCCACCCTCAGCCTGCCTTCCTCACCTTCACTTATTCCCATACCTGGCGGTGGGCTGGTCCCCACCCTCTGCTCATCCTGCTCCTGCCCAGGCCTCAGGTGCCCCTCAAGTGGAGCAGCCCCCTCTGCATCACCTCAATCCTGTTTCTGGCCCTCAGGA